GGTCTCCTCCAAGGCTGCGTCCTGTCCCCTATCCTGTTTGTGTTGTACATGGATAGAATAGTCAGGAGGTGCCAAGGCAATGAGTGTATCGGTGTAGGAGATGTGAAGACGAGAAGGTTGCGTTTGCTTGCGACCTTGTTTTGTTAGCATCTTCTGAGGCTGATCTTCAGTGCTCCACAGAAAGGTTCGCCGCCGAATGCGACGTGACCGGCACGCGTGTGAACGCCTTTAAAACGAAAAGCCTAGTGGTTTCTCACCAGGGGACAGCCAAGTTGAAGCTTGTGCAAATATTTGGAAGGAGTCTGTTCCAGACTCCAGTTGTTATTTGTTGAAGCTTAGACTCTGGCACAATATCGGAAGCGTTGGAAGCTTTGTGTGACGCGTCTGCCTCCGCAACTCGAAAGAAATAGCGGCGATGGAAGATTAAGAAATAGATGATGAAGACGAAGTGTCTTTGGTCTAGTTTATGTTCAAAACAGGTTCAGTAAAATAAGTGAATTTGTTGGAGCCCGTTTTCCCTGATATTGTCTGCTGCTTACCGTTAGTCATCATGCAGATTACAAGGTTATGTGAATTATGAAATTACGTCCGTTTTGTGGTGAGATTCGTAACTTTCCTGCACGAATAATATTCTCTCCAAATGCTTATGGAAGTAAATCTGTGCGATGATTCGATGATAGTTTAGGTTCAATAGCGAATATGGCCTTGATGGCTAAATTATACACCGTTCTTCTAAGAGTTGTTTCAGATAGCATTGTAAAATAGCAAGCTGCTGCACCCGTTTCAACTTCAAAAGTGGCACCTGGAAAGAGACCCTTGATTTCCGTTTCGTTATCGCTATGTATAGAAATTACGAGACAGATGTTTAATAAAGGGTTGCGGTCCGCTGTAAAGCTGGATTGACTCTAGGGGGATTGTAGTTCAAGAAATTTGCTCACAACAGAAACATTGAACATAGTTTATGTGGTATACTGTGATGATAGAATTTCTATTGATAAGAATTAGAGACGGCTTAATTTTAGAA